ATTTGTTTTCAATCTAAGCACCTAATTTCTAAAAAGTAACTATCAAATATAAGTAAACACTGTGTTAAGTTTTAATGATTACAGGTTAAATATCTAATATAAAAAGAGAAATTTATATAAAAGCGTAAACCAAGGTGGTTACACGCTATCCTATTGTTTTGTAAGTAAATATTGCATTTTATCTGCAACAAAAAGTGTTTACAGCTAAGCCTATGAAATATAATAAAAATCATGATAAAAGCGTAAACGCTTTCCAGACACATAAAAAACCGCTGTATCCCTTATAGCATAAGGCTTTAGAGCCTTTATCTTTAGATGCGTGGTGTGTGAACCAAAAATTGCCGGTATGTACCGGCTCCCAATCCATTTCATTGACTTAACTGACAGTAAAGATAGTGCTTGGCCAAAAGAGATCTTGGCTATTGTGTTTCTAAGAGAAAAATCTACAAGCGGACACACTAGTCTGAGAATCAAAAATAAAACCCAAGTTAAAACGCTCTCACATGCGATTTCAGCCACGTTTTTATTTAAGACATAGAATCTATTGTTGAAATAAGTAATCAGGTCAAAAAACGCAAATGAGCGCTGAATAGAGGCTATTTTTATTCCAATCTGGATGTATAGAGCGAGTGTCTACGAGCGAAGTACCAAAATTCGCACCTCGACTTTCTGAAAAACAGCTTTTTAGGCTGTGAAGCCGAAATAAGCGTAAATCACATGCAGAAAATTTAGCCTAGATCGAGCGTAGCGAGTAAAAAAGCTTTATGAGCGAAGCGAATTCCGAGTTGCTTTTGCCTTTGCTTTTTCTCAAATTCACAACTGGAAGAGCCAAAAAATTGCCCCACGAATCGAGCGAAAGCGAGATTCAATAGAGTTTGAGCGTAGCGAAAACCAAGGGCAATTTTTCATTCCCAGGGCTTTTAATTATTTTTAAGTTTTTAAATGCTTTTAGATAAGCTGAAAGCCTTTATATACAAGCTTATTAAGCTTAATTAAACTAGGTTTATCGACCTATTAAACTAGGTTTATCGACCTATTAAACTAGGTTTATCGACCTATTAAACTAGGTTTATCGACCTTAAAGATAGGTTTATCGACCCATTAAAATAGGCAGATTTACAAATTAATTAAACTAGGTTAAGTTACAACCTAATTAATTATAACTTTATTATTAAAAATGGCTGAGTTAGTAGTAAAAGATAATGCCCTAATTCAAGCTAGTTACACCTTAGATATGGTGGAACAACGCTTAATTCTGTTGGCGATTGCTGAGGCAAGAGAGACTGGTCATGGTATTACAGAGAATAGTTTGCTAGAGGTTCATGCAAGCAGCTATATCAATACATTTAATGTGGAAAAGCACACAGCATACACTGTACTTCGTGAAGCCTCTAAAAGCCTATTTGACCGTTATGTCACTTATCATGATATCAATCCTAAGACTGGCAAAGACCGTAGTTTCCACTGCCGCTGGGTAGATAAAATTGGGTATGAACAACATTCTGGAATTGTTTTTTTACGATTTACTCAAGACATTGTCCCCCTAATCACCAGATTAGAAGAAAATTTTACAAAATATGAGCTACAACAAGTTTCTAGATTAACAAGCTCATATGCTATTCGCCTGTATGAATTATTAATTCAATGGAGATCTAATGGGAAAACACCGCTATTCGACTTGCTGACTTTCAGACAACAACTTGGAGTTGAAGTTCATCAGTATAAAACTATGAGTAACTTTAAAACTTACGTTTTAGACTTTGCACTAAAACAAGTTAATGAGCTAACAGACATAACTGCAAAATATGAACAACATAAACAAGGACGTTCGATTTCTGGATTCTCATTTACTTTAAAACAAAAGAAAACTATTTCTCCGTCTATAGAGCAGAAAAGAGAGGCTACTCCACTAGAGTTATTTTCTAGAATGACCGATAAGCAGCGTCATTTTTTTGCTAATAAGCTCTCTGAATTACATGAGATGGGTAACTATTCTCAAGGCACCGAAAGCTTTGAACAGTTTGCTGTTCGTATTGCAGAGATGCTAAAAGACCAGAATACATTTCAGGAGTTACTCCCACACCTAAAAAAAGTAGGCTTTCAAACTGCGTAAAATATAAGCTTGCTCATTTGTCTATTAGACAGTCTAATAGACAACATATTTTGACAAGATTAGGCATAGTTTTACACCATGAAAAGTCTTTCAGTTCTTGAATTATCTAAGCTGTACAACATAAATAGACAAACAATTTACAATCATATAAATAAAGGAATTTTAAGTAAAAATTCTGATAATAAGATTGATTTGGCTGAAGCTATTCGAGTATTTGGTGAACCCATTAGAAAACAGGATGTAAAAGAACCTGTAAAAGTGGATAGTCCAAATTCGGCAGAAGTTTTACTGCTTAGACAGCAGATAGACATACTAAAAAATCAGCTAGATGATGCAAAAGATAGAGAATCGTTCTATCAGAATCAGATTGAAACAATGCAACGTCTTTTAGAGGCCCCAAAACCTCATATCCCTACGTCTATCGACCCTGAACCTACTCAGGCTGAGCAGATTACAGAGGACAAAGAAGAAGTTATCGCCATGCCTCCGAAAGAACCGGATACGAGTGAAAATAAGCGTATTCCGGTGCCAGAGCATGTTGAAGCGGAGCAGCCGAAAAGAGGATGGCTAAGCCGGTTTTTCTTGCCGAATGGCTAACAGGCTTGTTTAGGTTTACTAATCAAAGCTGTGAAACATTGATCAAAGAATAGACGTGGAACGTGAAAAATCATAAAAAAAGCCCACCAGAGGGTATGTGGGCTAAAATTATGGAACTACATCATTGATTTATAAGGTTAATTATACATCATTACGTATAACGTGCATTATGTTAATTTTAGGAAAGTTTAAAAATCTATTTCTGAAAAGGGTTTCATTTTTTCAGCATAAGCCTCTTGCCTATTTTTTCTATCTTCCGCTTGATATTGTTGAGAGATTTCTTCTGAGTGCTTTAATAAACGTTCTACCCATTTTCCTTTCCGAAATTGTGTTGTGTATCTACAATCATAGCCTTTCATAGCAGAAGAGATGCTTACTGCAACTGAGGCGACTCCCCCCAGTTTATCCTTCTCACTATAAGATTCATATAAAATATCACCATCTAATATTTTAATTAGACCTAACATTTCACTTTTGTTGTCCTTACCCGAAAAAAAATCTCCTGCTTTTATAGGTGCATAAAAAATTTCGCATGATTCCCATTGCACTCTTCCTGTCTCATTACTGTTAGGATTCCCATTATTTACAATATTCTTAATGGCTTCATGAATGTTTAAATTTTCAGCTATTTCTTGATTTGTTTTGATGTCTAAATCATCAGAAAAGATAACTTTCATAGTATAAATCTCTTTACTCGCTATTAACTTCATTTTGTAAAAAAGCACATGCTTTTATATTAATTTCAATAAATTTATCCCAAGTCATTTTTGATGAGAAAAACAACTTGTATTGAAGATCAACCCGACAAATATCAGGTCGATTTTCATAAATTGAGCATGTGTTATCAATAGATAAGTACTTACAGCTCCCATCACCTTTATCTAAATAAGCTGTTAATTCAGATCTAAATACCTGTTTGCAACAACAACCACATTGAGTACAAGGAAATGGTGTCTGCATTTAAAACTCAATTTTTCCTATATTTGGATCGTTTAGTGCCTGAATTATCTTTTCAGCTTCTTTTAAAGGTGATGATTTAACAATAGTAGTAATACTTTCCATTGCTACATTAACTAAATCCATATTTCCAGCTTCAATACCTTTATCTAAACGTTCAAACATTTCATCAATTGAATGACGTCTTTCTTTAAAGGTTTCAGCTAAATAAGCTTTTAAAAACTCTGTTTGCTGTTCAATTTTTCCAACATTAACATCTCGCCAAGCATGTATTGTCTCTCGTTTTGTTGTTTCAGCCTGTACAGTCATCCTATATTCATGATGTGCATCTGCAAGCATTTTAAATGCCTGAAAAGCCATATCTGGTGATGGTTTTGGAATAACCGTAACATTTTTTAGCGTTTTAGTAGCTTTCATAAGCTCTTGCTTAGCCATGATATGAATCCTTTTCCTAAATTGTTAAAAACCCTTGGCAAGTATGTTTAATATTTTTAATAGGAGATCCTTCTTCATCTATAATTCGGCAATCCAATAAGTCTTTTAACATTTTAGTATTTGCAATCATCTGTTTGAATGCTTGTGGATCAGAATCATCATTAACTTTCATGACCTCAAATCTTTGAACCAACTCATTTAATGTATAAGTAACCTCATCTACATTTTTTCGAATCCCTTTAAGAACAACACCTAACATATCTATTTCTGCAACAGCTTTATCAACTTGAGCTGAATAATCTACAGCTTTAGTTAATGCTTCTTCTGCTTTACTTGCTAACATAAAGCCGCCTATTGCTAAAGCAGGACCAGCTACAATTCCTCCAAGGGCAATCATTCCTCCAGCCATTCCAAAACCACCACTAGCAAGAGAACCACCGCCAAGCCAAGCTAAAGTTGCATTTGTTGCGGCAACACCTGAAAGCCCCGAAATAGCTGTACCTGTTGAAGCTGATGCTAATAAACCAACACTACTGTATGCCCCAAAACCAGCTAATGCTCCTCCTGTTGTTCCAGCCAATAATCCTGCTTCTAGTTTTAAAGAGTTAAGAACCATTGATTCCATTTCTTTGAGTTCATCTATAGAAATAGAGGATTCAAAATTTTCTAGTTTCCCACCAGCATCTTTTGATTTTTTTATGACATCAATTGTGTGTTTAATTTGATGAGTAAAGATACTCAACTTAAGACGTCCTAAGTCTTCTAACGTACTATTCGTTTTTTCCTTTTTTTCCTCTAATCCAGAAAGTGCTGAGTTATATCTACTCTCTGCATCATTTCCTATTTCTTTAGCTTCTTTTAAGTTGCCTACAGCTTTAGCTCCTTTAAAAACCCCAGTCGCTCCAAGCGCAGCAGCAGCACCCCATAAAACAATCGGCAATGGCATATTTTTTCTCTTATCAAGTGTATATTTATATTGAATATTATACGAAAATTCTGCTTTAAACATCACATTAACGACTTAAAATGTCGCTTAAACCACATTGATAAATATTATATTTTTCTACAAACCTATTACCTATTTAACATAATAGAGCTTATACGAAACGCACTCATAAATAGTATTAAATTTCAAGAAGTTATGCTATAAAAAATTGGGACGCAAAACCTAAAAAGCCGACTTGGAAACAAGTCGGCTTTTTATTAAGCAAAGCTGTAACTTTTAGCCAATAGAATCGATCAAAAAACATTCAAATTTCAACTTTTCCCAGATAACTCAATGCCTGCACTTCGGAAATTATCCGCAATTTCTGCGGACAACTCTTGGGATAAAATAGGCCAACTTTGTAAGCTAAAACTTACATGGATTTAAGGATTTTGCGGATTGGTAAATCAAGTCATTAGCCCTATGATGAATATATAAGGGAACTGGATGTTTCCAGACAACAAGAATAAGAAAATTGCGCAAGGAATGGGCAGCACGAGATCAGTAAGACGAGCAACCCGATATGAAAAAGCCCGACAGGATGTTGGGCTTTTTTATTGCCTAAAGAACTTCATATAAGGTGCATTATGTTAATTTTAGAGATTCTTAAGAATTAAAATTTTATATATTATGATTATTTTCATATTTATAAATAACTTATAATATTTAGATTACGCTTATAAATGTATTCCAATATGGATGTTCTAGATTTTATTAAACACAACCATAGTGATAAGACCATCCTATGTGAACAGTTGTTTTTCGTACATGGTACTTACTCTTTTCAAAAAAGATTAGATAAAGCCCATACTATTATTTCTTCTGTGAGTAAAAAATTTCATATCCCTTTAAGTCATATAAAAGTTTCAGGATCAGCCCACCTTGGTATTAGTCTTCAAAAAGGAACAATCTTCAATGAAAAGCAATCCGATCTAGATCTAGCTATCATAGATGCTGACCTATATGCAGAAATACTTAATCAGATTTATAAAAAAACAAACTACTATAAAAATCAGAGTCTTTTCAGTATAGAAGAAACTGAGTATCAAGGTAAAACCATAAGCATGAGCCATTTTGATATGTACATAAAATGGTTAACTAAAGGGGTCATTCATCCTAAATACTTTCCAAATATTGATTACAAAAGGAATTGGGATGGCTTTTTTTCGGAGTTATCTAGAAATAATAGAGGGATCTTTAAAAATATAAGTGCCTGTGTTTACCTATCAGAAGCTTCTTTCAAAAACAAACAAGTATCATCTATCAATACAGCCTTAAAGTCTCTCAGCAATTCACCTTTGGAAATGGCATCACCATGATTCAATATCAAGTTCGCTCTGTTCAATTATTAAATCTAATTAATGATTTAATTTCAGAAAAATTAGTCTCAGATCCATTTTATCAACGAAATCTTGTGTGGCGAGATTTACATAAGCAAGACTTCATTCAAACAATATTGTTAGGTTTTCCTTTTCCACAAATATTTATTTCAAAAGGAAAAATTGATCTTGAAAAGCGTATTAGCATAGCTTCTATCGTAGATGGCCAACAAAGATGTAATGCAATTTTGGGATATGTTAACAATCAATTCCAAGTCAATAATCATTTTTTTGATGATCTTTCTCCTGATGAAAAAGCAGTTTTTTTTAAATACGAAGTAGCAGTTATTGAATTAGACTTAGATCATAAAGATCCTAAAATTAAAGAGATTTTCCAGAGAATTAATAGAACATCATCAAGTTTGACTGGAATAGAAAAGAAATCTTCTGAATATAGTGCATCTGTCTATATGCTTTTTTCACAATATTTATCAAATCACTTATCAATTAATCAAAGAGATCTCGACTCATTATTAGACTCAAGTGATGAATCAGATGATATTCGATTAAATCCTTATTTAACAGATGACTTAATCACATGGTTTAAATCAAATAAAATCAAATATTTCAATAAGTTACTAAATAGTGAAAGTATTTTTACAAAGTTAGAGATTTCAAGAAAAGTTAATTTGATGTACACATTAAATCTCGTAACAACATATTTAAAGGGCCTATACCATAGAAATAATGAGGTATGGAAATCTGCTGATTTGTATACTGAAGAGTTTGATGAAAAGGAAATTATTCTGAATAAGTTTGAAGTAATTGCAAAAAGAATACTAGATTTTAAATTTCCAAAATCTTCAATGTGGTATGGGAAAGCTAACTTTTTCTCTTTATTTTATGAAATATCTAAATTCGAAGATACTGAATTAAATTGGGAAGAACTACAATTACGTTTAAACTCTTTTGAGCCTTCAGATCAATATAAAGCGGCCACACAAGAGGGTGTGAATAACTTAAGAGAGAGAGAAACACGCTCTAGAGAAATTAATACTATTATTTCTCAGTGCTTAGTTTAAAAATTTTAGTAGCTATCCTATCTTTTTTGGATAGCTACTCTAAATAACTATTCCAAATTGATTAAATATTTAACTACTAAGCCCAAAGCAACCCCCAACAAGGGTGGAACAGCATTACCAACTTGAGTGTATTGAGGAACTTCAAACTTTCTCATTTGGCCACCAGTAGTTACTTTAGATAGAAACTTAAAGTTATCTGGAAAAGATTGTACTCGTGCCATTTCTCGAACAGTTAGTGTCCTTAAATCACAGTAATGGCAAGCATCATCAGGAATAGACAAAGCTGCTGGTGCTGGTTGGTTAGCAACTAAAGCCTTTTGAGTTTGTTTCTTCGTTTGATGTAGCTGTAAATACGCTATCAGCTCACATTTACTCGAAAAATTAGTCGATTGACCATCTTCATTTAAAAAGTTTAAGTTTTGTAATTCATCAAATGCATGATCAGAGAGTAAAGTGCTTAAGCCTTTAAGGATCTGTTGTACTTCTTTTTTAGTATTTGAGGAAACCAAATTTAAATTTTGGTATAGCTTAAAACGCTTTTTGACATGAATGCCATTCGCTCTAAGATCATAATTATTTAAGCTCTTATGCTTAGTCAGCAAAGGATTGAATAGCCTATCTAGTTGTTTCACATATTCAGATTTTGTTTGTTTATTTTCTATAGAAAGATCTTGAATTGCATCTGCTACAGAAAACTCTTTGCCTTTATAAGCAATTAAAGGTTCAAGAAAAGTTTCTTGAAAAAATGCTGTATCCTTATCAACATCAAAGTATTTTAAATGCCCATACTCTAAATCAGTATCTAATTGAACTTTCTCAAGAAACTGATAGCTATGTTTTAAAATTTCTTGCTCTTTTTCATTCAATTTCTGAATTATTTCTGCATAAATATCTACACGAATACCCAAAAGAATAAAACGTGGTCGGTTCTGAGCAACGCCAGCATATTTAGCATTTACATGTAAGCATAGAGGAACGTAATTAATCTTTGAAAAGGCCTTAGCAACCTCATACCAGGCATAGAACTGTCCAGCATCGGTATTAAAAGCCCTTAGAATTCCAGAAACATTTTCTAAAAGCACAAATTTAGGATGAGTGAGTTCTACAAATTTGGCAAATTCCCAGGGTAAAGTATTTCGTTCATTACCCAACTGTCTTAATCCAGCCAAACTAAAACTTTGACAGGGTGGGCCACCAGAAACGAGATCTAAACCACCTTCTAAATGCTCATCTTGTATTTGCTTCAATAATTCAGGCTGTTGTTGTAATAACTTATTGAGTTCTACAATGCTACCAACAAGTAATTTTTTATTGAGCTGGGTGCTCGGATCCAAGTCACTAAAACCACTATTCATGATAGGTGGGTAGGTTTTAGGATTTTCTCTCAGCCTTTTTGATACTTCATTTTTAGAAAAATTTGAATTAATCCAAAGCGTATGTTCAAGATGCTGTTCATCTAAACTTTCATTAAAAAAATTATAAGCAAAGGTTTCGGCTGCCATTGGTGATAATTCATTAGCAATAACCAAGTTATGTCCTGAAGCCTCTAAACCTAGAGATAATCCACCACAACCTGCAAACAACTCGATATAGTTCAACCACAGTGCCTTAATTTCTAAAATATCATGGCATTTTAAAGTACACTCAAACCAAAGTCCAGGCATTTATACACTTTAAGATGAATCAGCGAACACCAATTGAACTAAGTACTGAACAAACAGAATTTTCATTAAAAAATAGAAAATACCTTGCTCAAAATGGTATTGATTACGGTTTGTTATCCATTACTCAAACTGGTCTGAATAAGTCAATTATGGATGCAGTCGGATCCTTACGAACATATTTAAAAGAAAACCAATACCATGATTATTCTGAACAAAAACAAGGAACAGACTATAAAGTCCTAAAACCATGCCAATTGGTTATCTCTGATACAGCCTCTCAGGATCAAAAGGTCAGCTTATATCGTCCTGAAACGAAGTCAGGAGATCCACGGATTTGGATTTACGGTCTAAAAAACGTAGCTGAATCTGGTGATGAACTGGCACTCGTTATTGATAAAGGGGATTTATATGCGTTTAACATCTCAAAATTAGATCTAGCTCAAAACCAATTTTTAAATAAAATCATTCATGACTATGAAGCAACAGCAATGGAGCTACTTGGTCTATTAGAAAATTTAAGCAAGAAAGGACGATTACAATCGATTATGCAAGGCAGGCATGATACGGCTATAGGCAGAACAATTGAATATGCTTTAGGTATTCCAATCAATTCGTCACCTTTACCCGATTATAAAGGGATCGAACTAAAAGCAGCTCGTCTAAACAAAGTCTCGAACCGTACAAATTTATTCGCTCAAGTTCCTGACTGGCCAATCAGTACGTTAAAAAGTAGCAAGGAAATCGTTGATAAATATGGTTATGAACGTGGTGAAGACTTAAAACTTTACTGTACGATTAAGACGCATAGTTATAATTCTCAGGGTCTTGGTTTTAATGTCGATTTTGAGCAAGATCAACTGAACGAATTACACATAACAGATGGACCAGTAGTGAGTTGGTTGGGAGACACTCTTAGAACTAAATTGCTAGAAAAACATCACGAAACCTTTTGGATTAAAGCTAATTCAGATATAGAAAATGGTGATGAATTTTTTACATTAAAATCAATCACACATACGAAGAATCCTGTTTCAAGCCAATTCCTTGTACTTTTGGAACAAGGAATCATTACGATGGATCATTTAATTAAACGTAAAGATAAAACAGGTAAAACAAGTGAAAAAGGCCCCTTATTTAAGATTAAACCAGAACATTTAAGCCTAATTTTTCCTGAGCCAAAGCATTACAATCTGTAATCATGCTTGGATCAAGATTTAACATAAAATCTCTTATACGCAGCCCAGGTTAATCCTGGGCTTTTTGTTCAATCTGATCATTGGCCTCAAACATGCCAGGATTGGTAATCCTAATGTTTTCCTGACAATTCCCACAAAGCATCAGCCCTGCAAAAAGCTGTACGTTTTCCCTTGAATCACAGAAAGCACAAGGCTTAGAGAGTTGAATAATATTACTCATGGTTTTTTCCTTTCAGATAGTAAGCCTTGGCATGACTTTTTCCTTTAGCCTGCATTCCTCGAATCTCATATTTCTCTGTTTGTAGCTTCATAAGAATGCCCATTTGAAACATGTATATTTCACCTAAATTTTCTAATAAATTTTCATTCAAAGAATTAGCTTGGGTAAACTGATCCAATGACCGATTAATATCTTTTTCAAAATCATTCACCAATGTTTCAATACGACTGACCTGCCGTTCAATACTGGCCATCTGTAAATTACTAGTCAGAAGATCCCGAAGATAAGTCCCTAATTTATCGCCCTTCAACTGAGCCAAACGCTCATATTCTTGTGCGACCTGATTGTCTAATCGGACGGCAACGGTTCGAGTACTGTTCATGAAAAACTCCTATTATTTGTTTTCAATCTAAGCACCTAATTTCTAAAAAGTAACTATCAAATATAAGTAAACACTGTGTTAAGTTTTAATGATTACAGGTTAAATATCTAATATAAAAAGAGAAATTTATATAAAAGCGTA